CCGCCTGCCGTATTGGAAACTCATTAGAGGCATACTTTTTGCGTCTCTCTGCAGAGGGTGACCATATCGACGGTGTAAGTCGGCGATCACATAACTCGGTTTGCGATACATTATTTTTTAAACGGAAAACTACGTAACGGCAATTCTTTAAAACTGCCGTGATTTTTCTTCTTCGTGCGAAGAAAATTCTGCAAAAACTTCGAGGAATGATTTCAATTTGTTTTCCTTTAAAAAAAAATTAACATAGAGGCGGAGATTTTCAGACACCGCAAACGAGATGTGTAGTGCTGACTTACGCCGTCGATATGCTAACAGCTTTCTGTCTCCTCTAAAATTGCTTTGTACCCTTGAAATTCTCCCCTCCAGGGTCGGACTGGCTCGCACCTGAGAGCGCAGACCCTTGGCTCGTTAAAGGGGCGTAATGTGATATTTCCTGATGGGGCATCCCCTTCGTGGAGAGGGGTTCAGAAAATTTTGGCAAAACAGCTTAAGTTTACGCTATTTTCAGGTTCAAAGTTTATTAATCGTACAGAGTAAAAATTGTAAAATTAAACGTATTGAAGTAACCGACAGACTTCTGAAATTGAAGAAAACAAAAAAATTAAAGCCACTGGACGCATCCAAGCACCATTATTTCCACAAAAACCGTGTCAGTGCTGTGGTTCACACGAGCTTAAGACGTGGGTCTAAAAATCCATCCTAAAAAAGAATAAGGCAAGAACCTGAAAAAAGAAGAAAGAACGAGTATCAACACAGCCGACGACAAGGAAGACGTATTCGGGCCTCTTTTTTAACTTTTCTCCCGAATCTGAGAGACACCTCATTGGCAGCATATAGCAGGGCATTGAGAACTCACGCTTCGCGTCATCGCGCCTTCAATTTTTCAGATGCAGCACGGACGTCCATCAAGTACGAATAGTTGTATCTCTGCGCCGTCGTTAACGCGTATCCTCTCCCTCGCTTTATTTTCAGATTGTGTTTGTTCGCGTTTGTCTTATTCGTAATGATGCTTCATGCACTACGTGAATAACACAGCCGAAGGTAGGAGAGATGTGTTCGGGCCTCTTTTTTAACTTTTCTCCCGAATCTGAGCGACACCTCATTGGCAGCATGTAGGAGAGCATTGACAACTCACGCTCCGCGTCATCGCGCCTTCAATTTTTCAGATGCAGCACGGACGTCCATCAAGTACGAATAATTGTATCTCTGCGCCGTCGTTAAAGCGCATCCTTTCCCTCGCTCTATTTCCATGTTGTGTTTGTTTCCGTTTGTCTTATTTGTAATGTTGCTTTAAACTAGAGCAGAGCATTGCGAGTTCAGGACTCACGCCATCGCGTCTTACATTTTTCATATGCGATGTATCCATCTTGCGAGAATAGTTGTATCGCTTTTACACTTTAGATGTCTCTTACTTTTGAATTTCGAAATAAATTAAGGTTAAGTTTGCCCGAGATATGCTATGATATGTCCAAATCAATAGTCATTTTTGAAAAGAAGAAATATGTTTAAAAGTCTCTCATAAGGTCTATAAAGTGTGCGTATGTCTAAAAATTGAATCGGCTTTCGTTTCTACAGGAGTTACAAATAGAGAATGAAGGAGGGGGATGATAAAGCGCCTGTATGTCAACAAAAAAGGTGACAATTTCACAGAAAAGTGTTTACGCTTCAGAAAGTAGCTCTTGGACCTCTGTTCACCACTATGCGTAAAAGCACCTCTCTTCACTTCTAACTCTCTCTTTTTCCGTTCATTTAAAAAATTTTTCGCATATATTCTCGGTCGTAATTTTTTTTCTCAACTTATTTTGCTATCTGTCAGAGGGGCGCGTTTTTGGCGCGCCAAGGGGACGTATCTGCCAATGGCAGATTGGCCTTATGGCCAGTACGAGCCTGCTCCCCCCCTTTCGCAGTCTCCCCCTTCCCACCATCTCTCTTCATACTTATTCACTTGCGCATCACCGGACAAATTCATGATGGTCCGTGGAGTAGCCGATGGGGGCGGAGGGCTGCAATCTTCCAGGGCGAAATCGCACTCTGCGCGAAAAAGCTTGTAATTCAGAACTTCCGAAGCACGAGTTTATTTCCCTGTGATTTTTCAATCATGATTCTTTGGAAAAAATGATACCTTTTATTATTTTAAACCTCGATCAGAGATATTTTGGGGGAAAAATCGTAGAGTTACCTCCCTCTTCAGCCCTAATATAATCTTTTTCATCCTCTTTCGAACAAAGCAATAAAAATGGAGGGGGGGGGGCGGAGGGCTGCTGTTTGAAAATATTGAGTCGGGGCTCGCCCAGCAGCTCGAGGGCGCCGCTCCGAAGTTTAAGTGTGCCCGAAAAAAAACGACCTGGGTAAATTCTGCCGTGCGAAGGAAAAAAACCGTATGAGCCTTCAGGTGTTGCCACATTTCCTCTGGCAAATCACTAATTTTCAAGACAATTGTTGATAGTTTGTCTACCAGTTTATCAGGTAATTTTGTTTGTAACTTGATCTAAAACTTCTAAAAATTTCAAGGAAAAATATTCATAATTTTCCCCCGAAATAAACATTTTATCGAAGGAAATTCGGCAACTCTCAAATGGACCGCGTTAAACAGAAAGGAACCAAGCCACATCGGCCATTGCCAAATTTAATCGAGCAATTTAATTTTTTTACATGAAAACGGATGTACGGATTTTCGTGCAAATTTCAGTGGATTTTCTCTACAGTACAAAGCAAATTCCTTAAAATTTTCAAAGGAATCCACACAAACATTCTCTCGTAAAAAATTAAATTGCCCAATTAAATTTGGCAATAGCTGATGTGGCTTGGTTCCTTTCTGTTAAACGCGGTCCAAATGTTCATACGGCGTT